CTCGGCTGGGGCAGGGCAGGGGGGTCCCCAGGCAGAAGGGGCCCCAGGCAGGGGGTTCCCTGGACAGGGGTTCTCCAAGTAGGGGCGTCCCTGGGCACAGGGGACCCTGGGCAGAGGGGTCCCCAGACAGGGGTTCCCTGGGCAGGGGGGTCCCCAGGCAGAGAGAACCCCAGACATGGGGGTCCCTGGGCAGAGGAGGTTCCTATTGATATCGGGGTCCCCAGACAGGGGGGACCGTCCCTTTCTGCCCATCCTACAACCGCACGCCTCCGCCAGACACCCAGTCCCCATTTCCATCGTTACCGCCAGTTCCCAGGGCGCTTTGCAAATAAGCCGAGGCCGTTCCAGCCACATCCACCTCCGCATGCGCGGCACGAATGCCCCCACCATGAGACCCCCCCCCTATCTCCAAGCTCCCCATGTCGGGGATGCCCCAGCCTAGCCTCCTGCTCTGACTTCTGCCGGCGCAGGGTTTCCTTCCCGACACCAAACGGCGCCTTTACCTCTCCCAGAGAGCCAAAGCCTAATAAATCAGTAACGGGGCTTTAACTTCTGATCAAAAAAGGGGATTTAATACCCAGGCGGCGCCGGGATGCTCTGCTGGGAGGAGGTCTACCTCCGCTGCCCCTAATGGCCCTCCCTTTATCAGAGAAGGATCAATTTTGCAGCATCACATGGCATGGAGCAGGGTATGCCCGTGCCTGGGACTGCAGGCAGGAGCCCTGCCTCCCGGACCCCGGCACCCACCCCGGTGTCCCCTCTCCCCTCTGCAGTCCCCCCCGAGGACCCCATCATCGACGGAGCCCCCGAGATCCTGCTGCGTGCGGGGACGCCGTACAACCTGACCTGCCGGGCACGCAGCGCCAAGCCAGCGGCCACCATCGTCTGGTACCGGGACGGGCTCCAGCAGGATGGAGCCATCACCAGCACGGTACGGGGACACGCTGGGATACCCTGTCCATCCCCTCCGCCCCACGCCGTGCCTCGGCATCCCCAGCATGGTGCTGGGAGCCGACGGGGACCGTCCCCTCTCCCCGGCAGGAGGTGTTGGCCGACGGCAAGCGGGAGACAACCACCAGCCAACTTGCCATCAACCCAACTGACCTCGACATCGGGCGGGTGTTCTCCTGCCGCAGCACCAACGATGCCATCCCGGCGGGCAAGGAGACCTTTGTCAAGCTCAATGTTCACCGTGAGTCGGTGGCGGTGGCAGAGGGGACGATGCGTGCATGTCGGTGGCACTGGGGTGTAGCTGGGGCAGGGAGCCAGGGATGAGTTCTCGGGGTACGTGGGCATCGTGGGGTGCCCGGGGGACCCCAGCACCGTGGATGGAGCCGGGTCCCTGCAGAGGGGCTGCGACCACAGGAAGGGGATTCGCCCAGTCCCACCCGGCTAGTGCCGAGCTGGAGGGGGGAGGCCAGACTGGGACTTGGTGGTGACCACCGACCTCCAGTGGCTGCTGCGGGAAGGCTCTGCCCTGCCGGGGCCCGGCACCCACCACCAGCACCCATGCCCGGTGGGGATAGAGGGTGCCGACGGCAAGCACCCACACCAGGCAGGGATGTGGGGCACCCATGACAAGCACCCACCACCCACACCAAGAAGGGATGCCGGGTGCCCATGGCGAGCACCCACACCAAGAAGGGATGCTGGGTGCCCACAGTGAGCACCGACAGCAGGAGGGATGCTGAGTGCTCACAGCAAGCACACACACCGGGCAGGGACGCTGGGTGCTCATGGTGAGCACCCACAGTGAGAAGGGATGCTGGGTGCCCACAGTGAGCACCCACACTGGGTAGCGATGTGGGGCACCCATGGCGAGCACCCACATCAAGAAGGGATGCTGGGCACCCACGGTAAACACCGACAGCAGGAGGGATGCTGCGTGCCCACAGTGAGCACCCACACCAGGCAGAGATGTGGGGCACCCATGGCGAGCACCCACATCAAGAAGGGATGCTGGGCACCCACGGTAAACACCGACAGCAGGAGGGATGCTGCGTGCCCACAGTGAGCACCCACACCAGGCAGAGATGTGGGGCACCCATGGCGAGCACCCACATCAAGAAGGGATGCTGGGCACCCACGGTAAACACCGACAGCAGGAGGGATGCTGCGTGCCCACAGTGAGCACCCACACCAGGCAGAGATGTGGGGCACCCATGGCGAGCACCCACATCAAGAAGGGATGCTGGGCACCCACGGTAAACACCGACAGCAGGAGGGATGCTGCGTGCCCACAGTGAGCACCCACACCAGGCAGAGATGTGGGGCACCCATGGCGAGCACCCACATCAAGAAGGGATGCTGGGTGCCCACAGTGAGCACCAACAGCAGGAGGGATGCTGAGTGCTCACAGCGAGCACACACACCGGGCAGGGATGTGGGGCACCCAGGACAAGCACCCACAGTGAGAAGGGATGTTGCGTGCCCACAGCGAGCACCCACACCGGGCAGGGATGCAGGGTACCCACACCGGGCAGGGATGCTGCGTGCCCACAGCGAGCACCCACACCAGGCAGAGATGTGGGGCACCCATGGCGAGCACCCACATCAAGAAGGGATGCTGAGTGCCCACGGTGAGCACCAACAGCAGGAGGGATGCTGAGTGCTCACAGCGAGCACACACACCGGGCAGGGATGTGGGGAACCCAGGACAAGCACCCACAGTGAGAAGGGATGCTGGGTGCCCATGGTAAGCACTCACACCAGGCAGGGATGCAGGGTACCCACACTGGGAAAGGATGCTGGGCACCCACAGCAAGCACCCACACCGGGCAGGGACCCCAGGTGCCCACAGCGAGCACCAGAGCTTTTGGGATCTCCCACGCCACGGGCCATGCTCTGGGTGGCAGTGCGGGGAGGGAGATTCTCCCTTTGTCCCCTCTCCCTCTGCCACGCTGACCCTGTGCCAGTGCCCGTGACGGCTCCATCCGCCCTCCTGCAGATCCCCCGACTGTCACCCTGTCCATCCAACCCCAGACGGTGCAGGAGGGCGAGAGGGTCATGTTCACCTGCATGGCGAACGG